AAGTTCAAAAACTGAATCAGTAATAAAAAACCTACCAACCTAAGCAAGTCCTGGACCAGACAGATTCACAGCCAAATTCTGTTAGATGTACAAAGAAGAGCTGCCACCAATCTTACTGAAATTATTTCAAAACATCAACGAAGAGGGACCCTTCCTTAACTCATTCTACTAAACTAATATCATCCTAGAACCAAATTCTTTCAAGGACACAACAAAAAGAGAAAACTATAGGCCAATATCCCTGAACACAGACCAAAATCCTCAACAAAATACTGGTAACCTGAATCCAACACCACATCAAAAGATAATTCATCACAGACTGTTGCCCCAACACCTTTTCCCCTTTGCTGATTTTTCTTTCTATTCTTTCACTGTAATAATTCATAGCTGTGAGTACCACTATATGCCATTATTCAGTACTCATGCTACTCCACAGTACCTGAAACCATTAATTGCCCCTGTTTTAAAAAAACATTCTCCTTGGCCAACTATGACCTCCATTAGTCTTTTTTTGCCAGTTCCTCTTTCTCTGTCCTCCAAGTTAGCAGTCTTTGCAGTCTCATTTGCAGTGCTATTCTTTAATAGTAAAAGATGATGTGCAAAAGAATTATCATGTTCTTATGTGCTAGGCACTGCAATAAAGGCTTCATATCAACTCCTTGATTCCTCATTACAATTTCATGAGATAAGTAATAACATAATACCCATTTCAAATACAGCAAAATTAGACAACAGTATAAGGAATCTCCACAAATCCATCACTCAGCTTCAACAATTATTAACATTTTGCCAATCTTGACTCATCAATCTACACACATTTTACCCATTATAGTATTTTAGAGAAAATTTCAGAAATTATCTATAAATACTTCAATATTTACCTTAAATATTCAAGGAGGTTCAATCGCTTGAATCTCTGCCTCCTGAGTTCAAGCGATTCTCTTGATGGTAAACACCTTCAATATTTACCTTTTGTTTTTCTGATAAACCCTATCTTCTAGTTATACTGTATGACAGTAATGGAGCTGCATCCCTGTTGAATGACAGATTCTCTGTTGCCAAAGCATAAACTCCTTAGATTTCTTTGGCATATGACTCTAAATATATAGGTCCAATCTACCTTTCCTGCCTTACCATCCATCACTTTCTCCTGCACTATGCCTTTCCCAGCTTAAAACATTTACTATTCCACGAACATGTCTTGCAACTTTTTTGTTGTGCAAAACATTCCATAAGGCCCTGTTCCTATCTCACAGAATACTACACATCCTGTTCACAATTATTGTATAAAAGCTGATCCTGAAATCACAAAATGGAAGTAAATATAAACTGCACTGAATTTCATTATTCCTCTTGAGCATATATTTTATAAAAAGCACAAAATTAAAATCAATATCTGTTGTCCTTTTTTCTCAATTTTATTTCTTATTCTTTAATTCTTCATGTATACTCAAGTTTTTTTGTTTGGTTTTTTGTTGTTGTTGTTTTTGTTTTTGTTTGTTTTTGAGACAGAGTCTTCCCTTGTTGTCCACGAGATCTCAGCTCACTGCAACCCCCACTTCCCGAGTTCAAGTGATTCTCCTGCCTCAGCCTCCTGAGTAGCTGGGATTACAGGAGTGCACCACCAAGCCAGGCTAATTTTTGTACTTTTAGTAGAGACAGCGTTTCTCCCTGTTGGCCAGGCTGATCTCGAACTCCTAGCCTCAAGTGATCCACCTGCCTGGGCCTCCCAAGGTGCTGCGATTATAGGTGAGAGCTACCATGCCTGGTCAGAAAGTCAATATTTTGATGACTCTAACAAATACATATCATGGCATTTCAGCAGTGGAACAGAACACTATGTCTCAAAACCTTGCTTTGGTCTCTAAAATTATAAAACTAAAGTAAGTTCTACTGTAGAAGTGTATGCAGAAAAACAAAAACAAAGTCCTCAAAAAATGAAAAGACAATAAACTATCATTCTGAAAATCATCTAGCATAAAATTTAGTTATACTTCTTGCCTATCATGCTTCTCTTTAACTGTAAAATTTTAATATGTAGTCATAACAGAAAGGGTATTTTATAATCACCCCAGTTTTTCCTTCTAAATGTTTTACTATAAAATAATATAGGCAACAAAAAGATTAAGCTTTGCAAATTTTTAAAAACTTTTATAGGAAGAACTGTTTCATCATTTACTAATATATCTAAGTGCTGGCCAGGCACAGTGGCTCACGTCTGTAATCCCAGCACTTTGGGAAGCTGAGGCAGAAGCATCGATTGAGCTCCAGAGTTCGAGACCAGCCTGGGCACATACAGACACCCCGTCTCTACAAAAAGTGGGAAAAAAAAATTAGCTGGGTATGGTGCTATGCACCGGTAGTCCCAGCTACTCAGGAGGCTGAGGGAGGACGGTAGCCTGAGCCCAGGAGTTCAAGAATATAGTGAGCTATAATCATGCCATTGGACTCCAGCCTGGATGACAGAGAGACTCAATCTCATTCATTCACTCACAAATAAATAAATAAATAACTATATTCACTGTCTAGTTCAGATATTATTTTATTTGAGCTATTTTGTGTTTTACTTATTAGTATAAATCATACATGACTAAAGACAAACTTTAATAAGTCATGTTTATTTTTTCCTTTAACCACTAACAGCTATGAAAAACCTATAGAAAATTTTACTTATTATGACTGAAATAAGATCATTTCTTAGCCTTTTGGTTAAGATCAAGTATAGTAGGACCACAACATTAGCACAAATAAAGAATATATAGAAATGCATTTATTTTTGTATTATTTTAATTATGTGGTATCCCTAAATGATTGTATTTTACAAACACTAAATAACTGGTTCCACAAAGTATCACTGACACAGGATGAAATTCAGTTACTAATACTGTCTTTCCATATTTTTTTAAGTTTAAGAATACAAATACAAGCTATTAAGAGATATATAGATACATGTTGCTAATAAATGCTGTAATAACCTAAGATTCTAGAATAGAGATATTACCAAAATATGCAATCTCTGAATACATTAGCCCCCAAAGTAATAAAATTAAAGGAGTCTGATCAGATAAAAAGAGCTCTAACATTCTTTGGAGTAGTGTGAGTTAGGTTCCTCATTTTGTTTAGCTTGCCAAAACACTGCTAAGAGTAATCACAAAATGGCCTCACCCACAGAGTCCAAAAACTAAGAAAGACAATTAAGAACTTAAGTATGAGGTTCCAAGTACTTTTCCTTAACTCTAAAATAAAACTCTAATTACTTGCTGGAGAAACCACGTGAAGCCACATGGAAACAGGGAAACCCTAAGACTATACAGAGACGCCTGGTTATCCTGGTGGTCTAGCTGAAGACAGTCTTCCAGCCAACCCTGCCAAGATGCCAGACATATGAGTAAACTATCTTGGACATTCCTACCAGAATGTCTTGGACACTGACCCCACAGCTGACTGTTGCCACAGGTAACCTCATACATCCCAGAATAACTAGCTACGCAGCTGACCCAGTCAAGCCACAAAAGCATGAGAGATAAAATGTTTATCAGTTTAATTCACTAAATTTTGGAGTACTTTGTTGCACAGGAAGATATAATCAAAACAGTTATGTTTAATATTTTAAGGGTATCATCATTCCTGTCTCAATAATGTATTCAAGCCACAAACTTTGCATCAATCTGATACTTTAATCACAAACATACAATAATTTTAATAAGCACAGTCTACACACTGATCCCCAAACACTAGTATTGGAAATAAGGTAGTGGGAGGTAGCCAAGATCACAAATATTACTAAAATTAAATCAATAGCATGCAATATCACAAATTACAAATATTCATTTATAAGATTCCTCATTTATTCCAGTTCTAACTTTTCAACAATTTTAAATCAAAATTTAAAAAATAAACCACAAGTAGAAACTATTCCCACAGAAGCATTCATGAATGTATTTCAAAACAGAAATATAAGAAAAATTACCTATAAGCAGTGCTTCTCAACCAGGGGTCATTTTGTCCCCAAGACAAATTCAGCAATGTCTGAAGTCCTCTTTTGCTGTCATACTAAGGGACAGAGGGTTGCTGGCATCTAGTAGGTAGAAGCCATATACTCTGCTAAACATCTCACATTGCACAAGACTGTCTCCCACAATAAAGAATTACCTGGCCCAAAATGTCAACAGTGCCAAGAATGAGAAACCACAGCTAGGAGGCATTAAAATATAAAGATATTGTTTCCTTATAATCATTACCTTAAAATTAATCAAACTGAATGATTCTACTGGCAAAACTGATTATTAGAACTCTAAACAATTTTCTTTTTGAATGAAAACGTGATAATTTTGGTATTTTTCTATACAAAGAAAAGCATACTGCATCAAATATTAAGCTACAGAAACATACAAGAAATACTGATAATATTAATTACATGAAAACATATGCAGAAAGAAGTGTTTGCAAATACATTACTGGGAAAGATTATTTCTAACTGCATTATAACTGCTAATTAAACATATTTTGTTTCATCAATATTAATTGTAATAAATATAAAATCTAGTACATAAAATTAGTATTCTACACTAATACCTTGCTTAAATTCATATTTCAATAAATTATGATTAGAGAAATATCTAATTGGATTATTTGAAAATATTTTCCATTGTGCATTTTAAAAACAATTCATCTAATTATATGGTTCCACAGGACTAGGCCTGTGAATAAGTCAATTTACTTTTTGTCAAATACCTTAAGGAAAAAATATTTAAAAGCCTGAATAGGCTTTTCCAAGATAAGCTTTGGAGCTATGACCATATTTGCATTTCCTGTCCTTTTAGAAGAAACATTTTAATATGCTGAGACAGAGAAGAGTTTTCTGCAGTTTTGTAAAGGAAAGAATCATTGTGGCTATTGTAAAAGATTAAAAGATGAACCACTAAGAGTTGTTATACCAAACAAACGTACAAGGTATTTCCTTCCTGCATTAGAAAAGGTAACAATAAACTTTTCATTACCTTCACATTTGGCTTCTTTGTTGAAACTCCTCTGTACCAACCTAAAACAAAGCATAAGAGGATATTAAAATCACAACGTCATGTTCAGTAAGAGACACAATAGTATTTTTTGAAAAAAACAGATAAATGCACATCCTTCCTTAAATCACCCATTGTGGCTTTATTAGGATCTAGAGTTGTCATAGTAGCTTACTCCAAAAGGAACAGTCATATGGTGAATAAAACATTTCTAATTTTCATTACAAGGCATAAAAAGCCCTTTCAACTGAGTAAAATGCAATTAGAAAAGATCTCAGAGGACATGTAATTCAAGAGCACAAAAATTCCTACATAAAGGTGTTGGGGCAGAGAAATGCTAAAATTGTATGACTTTTTTCAAGGCAGATAGGGAGTATAGCCCAGACTTTCTGTTTCACGGTCTCATCCAATCTTCCATGCAGTATACTACACTACTCTCACTTATTTGCCTTCCAGCTGCTAAAGTCAACATCCTTGCTTGTGCAGATCACCTTCTTTATTTATTTCCTTTCAGCATTCACATTCAGCAATACTAATAAAAGTTTCAATTATACAATAAAAAACAATTTTCAGAGAAAGAAAATTTTACTGCCAACTTTTCTCAATTTCAATGTATTATTTTCAGAGCTTTGCTATAGTTTCTTTATTTGGGTTTAAAAGGAAGCAGTTCCAATGGGTAGGAGAGGAAGCCAAGAGTTCCTTTAAAGGAGGAAGATAAAGAAGAGATTGCTGATGATAGCTAAATTAATTGAGAGGTTATCACTGACAGTTTGTCCCACATATTAACTTTTAAAATAACAAAGCTATGAAAAAAATCAACTTTTTTCACCTGAAAACATAACAAACAACAAAAGAGATGAGCCTTGCTCCTATTTAGAACAATAGCTGAAAAAATAAATTTCATGAACTCATTTTATACCTTGCATCTCAGTTTCTCCTTTTTGAAAAATGATGATAACTTACCAATGTGACATTTTACAGTATTTTAAGAAACATAACAGAAAATGACATCAAGAGGTATGGCAGAGTAAGTCTCTTCAAAGAGCCTCTCCTCAAAAGCAATGAGAACACTATAAAGCTAAAGTAATCAAGACAGTATGATATTGGTGAAAGATTAGGCAACCAGAGAACTTAATAGAGAATCCAGAAATAGACCCACATAAATACAATCAACTGATATTTGACAAAGGAGCAAAAGTAGTAAAATGGACAAAAAAGAGTTTTCAACAAATGGTGCTGGAACAACTGGACATCCATATGCAAAAAAAAATGAATCTATGCACAGATATTACTCTAGTCACAAAAATAAACTCAAAATGGATCATAGACCTTAACGTAAAATGCAAAACTACAAAACTCCAACAAGATAACATAGGAGAAAATCTAAGTAATCTTGAGTACAGCAATGACTTTTTAACTACAATACCAAAAGCATGATCCATGGAAGAAATAATTGGTACACAGAGCTTCATTAAAATTAAAAACTCCTCTGTGAAAGGCAATGTTAAGAAAATAAAATGACAAGCCACAAACTGGGAGAAAATATTTACAAAACACCTATCTGATAAAGGAATGTTATCCAAAATACACAAAGAACTCTTAAAACTCAACAAGAAAATAAACAGCCCGGCCAGGTGCAGTGGCTCACACTTGTAATCCCAGCACTTTGGGAGGCTGAGGTTGGCAGATCATGAGGTTAGGAGTTTGAGACCAGCCTGACCAACATGGTGAAACCCCATCTCTACTAAAAATACAAAAATTAGCCAGGCATGGTGGGCATGCGCGCCTGTAATCCCAGCTACTCAGCAGGTTGAGGCAGGAGAATCACTTGAACCCAGGAGGTGGAGGTTGCGGTGAGCTGAGATGGTGTCATTATACCTCCAGCCTGGGTGACAGAGTGAGACTCCATCTCAAAAAAAAAAAAAAAGAGGCCAGGCGCAGGTGATCACGAGGTCAGGAATTCAAGACCAGCCTGAGCAACATGGTGAAACCCCATCTCTACTAAAAATACAAAAAAAATTAGCCGGGCATAGTGGTGAATGCCTGTAATCCCAACTACTCAGGAGGCTAAGGCAGGAGTATCACTTGAACCTAAGAGGCTGAGATTGCATTGAGCAGAGATCACACCAGTGCACTCCAGCCTGGGCAACAGAATGAGATTCCGTTTCAAAAAGAAAAAAAAAAAGAAAGAAAGAAAGAAAAGAAAAGAGCCCAATTAAAAAATAAGCAAACCATCTAAACAGACACTTCACCAAAGATACAGGATGACAAATAAGAATATGAGAAGATGCTCAACATCACTGTGTGATTAAGCAATTGCAAATGAAAACAACAATGAGATACCACTGCATGCCTTATCACAATGGCCAAAATCCAGAACACTGACCCAAACCAAACGCTGGTGAAGACATAAAGCAAAAGGAACTCTCTCATTCACTGTTGATGGAAATCCAAAATGGTACAAGGCACTCTGGAAGACAGTTTGGCAGTTTCTAACAAAACTAAACATATTGTTACCATATGATTGAGCAATCCATTCCTTATATTTACCCAAATGAGTTGAAAACTTACATTCACACAAAAAAACTACAAATTGATGTTTACAGCAGCTTTATCATACTTTCTGCCAAAACTCAAAAGCATCTAAGATGTCATTCTTCAGCAGATGAGTGAATAAATCAACTGTGGCACATCCATTCAATGGAATGTTATTCAGAGACAAAAAGAAATGAGCTAACAAGCCATGAGAAGACACTGAAGGAATCTTAAACGCATATATGGATACACTTAACACCATACAATGATAACGCAAATGTGACACCATGCTCTCTTGTAGTCAACTCTCCTCCCCAACCTCTTCCCCCAGCCCTGACAACCACTAAGTAGTTTCAAAACCACGTTATCATTTCTAAGGGATGCCACCATTATAAGGTGCGCATAAGAATTCTGCTCAGTGAACTTCAGCCATCACCTTTTCTTAAAACCGAAACTCTGCTACAAGCTTTGCCAAATTTATCCATTCCATGACTAAGAAGAATTGAAGACAGTAAGGAAAAGAGAAAAGGAAGAACAACTCATTATTTTTGTTTCTCACATAAGAAATAAAAAAGTTCATAAGCTCTCAAAGAAACAACTATCTCCCAAATCATTATGAATCAATAGGAAATACATGCTTTTCATGAACCAGTACAATGAAGTATTTTCCAAATGTCAATCTACCTACTGTCCAAGAACTCTGGACAATCTACCTCTGCAATTATATTCTCCCCTTTCATTTTCATCATTAATATCTTGACTTTCCAAAATTTCAGAATACTAGCAAAGAAAGTGAAACTCCCCTTGATGTTCAGATTGTCTGAGTCTTCATCAATTTCAATGTCATCATATGCACTTAACCGAAGAACACATCAGAGTCTCATTTGGTGAGTAAAACATCTGCTGGTTTGATTACTACTAGGAACTTAAGGTTAAGGCAAAGTTTTATACTCTAACATTCTCAGATATAAATTTTTGTAGAAATTAAAGAAAGGAAGGCATTCTCACAACACTCAAGTTTATACAGATTTATGTCTAACTTTAAGTCAGAAAAATATAATTGAATTCTATAAAATGCTAAACAAGTATTGCCTCCAAAAGTTCTCTATTGGTCTTCTATCCCTTCTACCTATAAATACCAGCTCTCCCCTTTCTCAGTAACTTGCTGCAACTCTCTAACTTCTAAGCTAGGGGCATGTTACTCACAGCATGATTGCAAGAAACACAGACTTTTTCCACTTTACCCAAATGTATCGAAATGAAAGAATTACTGGAAACGGTTTGGGTATTAACTTCACATTCCAAAAGAAAAGTTTAAGTTTTTGAGCCTCAGTTACTCCTCTGCTCTAAACTCTCCAAAAGCATCCCAGATCAAAATAAAATCCAAACCCTTTATTAGAGCCTCTGCCGATCTCAACGTCCACCACTCTCTCTGCTTCTCCCCATCCCATCCATCCACTGCAGCCATAATAGTCTCTCTGCAATTCCTTCATCTTACTAAGCTGGCTCCCGCCTCAGCACCTTTATACTTTTTGCATCATATCTCTGGACTATTCTTCCCCTCCCCAAACCCCTTCTACCCAGAATATCTCAGGATTGCTTCCTCATTTCCATCTGTTCTCTGCCCAAATGTTATCTTCTCAGAAAGGCCATCCTCAATCATCCTATTTAAATAAACAAGAGAGAAGTTTCCCCCCATCTCCCCACTAATATGGTCTGGCTCTCTGTCCCCATCCAAGTATCATCTTGAATTGTAATCTCAAGTCTAATCCCCACATGCTGGGGGAGGGACCCAGTGTGAGGTAACTGAATCTGGGGGCGGTTACCCCCATGGTGTTCTCATGACAGTGAGTTCCCATGAGATCTGAAGGTTTTATAAGGAGCTTTCTCCCCTTTGCTCAGCACTTCTCTCACTTGCTGCCATATGAAGAAGGACGTGTTTGCTTCCCCTTCCACCATGATTATAAGTTTCCTGAGGCCTCCCCAGCCATGCAGAACTGAGTCAATTAAACCTCTTTTCTTTATAAATTACCCAGTCCTGGGTATTTCTTCATAGCAGCATGAGAACAGACTAATACACTAAATTCATACTGCAGAGTGTAGGGTGCTGCTATAAGGATAACCAAAAATGTGGAAGCAACTTTGGAACTGGATAACAGGCAGAGGCTGGAACAGTTTGGAGGGCTCAGAAGAAGACAGGAAAATGTGGAAAAGTCTGGAACTTCCTAGAGACTGAGGGCTCAGAAGACAGAAAGATGTGGGAAAGTTTGAAACTTCTGAGAGACTTGTTGAATGATTTTGACCAAAATGCTGATAGTGATATTGACAATGAAGTCCAGGCTGAGGTGGTCTCAGATAGAGATCAGGAACTTGTTGGGAATTGGAATAAAGGTGGCTCTTGCTATAGTTTAGCAAAGAGACTGGTGGCATTTTGCCGCTGCCCTAGAGATCTATGAAACTTTGAACTTGAGAGAGATGATTTAGGGTA